CAAGAACTTAAGAATTGAAGTGTTCCTAAAAGTGCTATCTTACACATTATCATATTTAGTTTTACAATATATTGTTTGGTTTTGCATGTTGTTTTTCTTTTTTTTCTATAATCAATATTTTTTATTATGATATTGTGGGGTACAGTTAAGGGTTAGGTATACAAGTACATTTTGTTCAGGCACCCTTGTTGATAAGAGGTGTTTCCCCGTCCCCAGACAGATTTTACTACTGTTAATCCCCTCTTCCCCCCCTCATAGTTTCCCACTACTGTCAGTCATTTTCTTGTAGTATTACATTGGATGTTCAAGGTTCACTATATGAGTGAGAACATGTGATGTCTGGATCTTTGTTTCTGTGAGAGATCACTCAGTATTATAGACTCTAGTTCCATCCAGGTTGCTGTGAAATTCATGATTTTGTTGTTTTTTATGGCTGCGTAGTATTCCATCATGTATATGTACCACTTTTTTAAAATCCAGTCCTCTTTTGATGGGCAGCATGGTTGCTTCCAGGTTCTTGCTATTGTGAACAATGCTGCGATAAACATACATGTGCAGGTATCTTTTTTTATAGAGTGCTTTGAGTTCTTCAGGATATATTCCCAGTAGGGGGATTGCGGGATCATATGGGATGTTGATATTTAGAGTTTTAAGAATCGCCACACTGCTTTCCACAGAGGTTGCACTAGTCTACACTCCCACCAACAGTGTAGAAGTGTTCCCTTTTCTCCACACACTCTCCAGCAGCTGTTATTTTTTGAGTTGTTGATAATTGCTATTCTGACTGGAGTTAGGTGGTATCTCAGTGTTGTTTTGATTTGCATCTCCCTGATGACTAAGGCAATCAGGGGTATCCAAATAGGAAAAGAGGAAGTCAAGTTATCTCTCTTTGCAGACGATATGATTGTGTACCTTGAAAACCCAAGAGAATCTGTCAAAAACCTTACACTGATAAAGGCCTTTGGCAAGATCTCAGGATACAAAATAAATGTGCAAAAGACAATAGCATTTCTTTACACCAATAATAAACAAACAGAAACCCAAATAAAAAACACAATTCCATTCACAATAGCCACAAAAAAATGAAATACCTTGGCATCTTCCTAATCAGAGACATGAAAGACCTTTACAATGAAATCTACAAAACACTGCTAGAAGAAATCAAAGATGACGCAAACAAGTGGAAAAATATCCCATGCGCATGGATTGGAAGAATCAACATTGTGAAGATGTCCATCTTACCTAAGGCAATCTACAGATTCAATGCAATACTCATCAAATTACTAGCAACATTCTTCTCAGACCTAGAAAAAACAACACAGGAATTCATATGGAAACACAAACGACCAAGAATAGCCAGAACAATCCTCAGCAAAAAAAAAAAAAAAAAAAACAAAGCAGGAGGTATTACATTACCAGACTTCAAACTTTACTATAAAGCTACAATCATCAAAACAGCTTGGTATTGGTATAGGAATAGGCATATAGAGCAATGGAATAGAATTGAGATTCCAGAAGCAAAGCCTCAATTTCTCAACCAACTCATCTTCAACAAAGCCACCACCTACCACTGGGGAGAGGAGAACCTATTCAGTAAATGGTGCTGGGAAAACTGGCTGACCACATGCAGAAGATTGAAACAGGACCCCTATCTATCCCCATACACAAAAATTAACTCAAAACGAATCAGAGACCTAAATGTAAAACCTCAAACCATAAGAACCTTAGAAAATGAAGGACATACCCTCATGGAAATCGGAACTGGCATCCAATTCCTGAACAAAACCCGAAATCTACAGGTCATAAGAGAGAAGATAGACAAGTGGGACCTTATTAAACTGACAAGCTTCTGCAAAGCCAAAGAAACCATCAAGAGAGCAGGGAGACAGCCTACAGACTGGGTAAAAGTATTTGCCAACCCCAGGTCTGACAAAGGCTTAACATCTTGGATCTACAAGGAACTCAAACATGCTGAAAAGAAAAAAACAAACAATCCCTTTATAAAATGGGCAAAAGATATGAACAGACACTTCACAAAGGAAGACATCCAAGCAGCCAACAGACACATGAAGAAATGTTGTTTTTCATCTTTACAAATTTTGCAGCAGTTGAGTGAAGTCAATTGGTACATTTCTGAGAATGATTCAATCAATAATTTGTTTCCAAGATTACTCCATATAGTGACTATTAGTGTTCATTTATTTTCTCTATTGTATCAGTTATTGCATCCATTCAGCAGTGGTTGGATACTTGTATCTTCCTTTGTTCCATTTTTGTTTTCATTAATTGTACTCATAATACAAGTATATGTTCAAGAGTTTTTCTGTATGTATAATACAGGGAAATCTAGGAATATTGCTGGATCTAAGACATGAGAATATACAAATTATTATTGTGCATTCCTTTAATTTATAAGCATTCCCATTGATCTCTATTCAATCCAGCACATGAAGAACTCTTGTAAAACTACTTAATACTGTACCAGTCTGGTTTGTGTTAAATGGTAAATACTTTTTATTAAGCCACATTTTGCTATACTAATCCAATTGAAAATGTTTTTGTTTATTTCCCATTTATCTCTTCTGGTATTTATGTCATTATTTTTTGACCAAATTTTGTATTGCGGCTAGCATTTAAATTTGTATTGCAATATATTTTATTGCATATTGTGGATTCAAACACTTTGTTAGTTTTATGTGTCACAAACAACTTCACTCACACTGTGAATTTCTTTCCCATTTATGATATATTTGAAGGAACTGGAAAAAGGTTCACATTTTAGTTCAATCAAATTTATCAACATTCATATTAACTGAATTTTTGTGTTTAAAAATTTAGAGTTCTTTCATTTTACTAAAGATTATACATGTAAGTCATTATTTTTTCATGAATATGTAAGATTTTTGCTCTATACATTTAAGCTAATTATTTAAAATGTCATTGTAAATTGTAAAACATAAGGTCAATTTTATTATTCTTATTACTGCTTCTATTTTCATCATTAAAAATTATTAAAACTATTTCTCGACTTACCCAAACTTTTCCCCTTCATCTGCAGTGCCATCATTAAGACATATTAAATGTTTATATTTTGTGAATCAATGGATGGATACTGTTTGTTTGTCCCTGTGACATTGTCACAGTATTAAACTCTAACGACATTGCAAGTCTGAAATATCTTATTGTTTATGAATTTTAGAATCAGTTTCCAATTTCTGTGAAAAATTCTCATTAGATTTGTAATAGATTACATTAACTTACACAGCAATCTGGAAAGACCACCCTGATGTATTATATCTTTTCCCTTTCACCACAGATATAATATAGCTCTTAATTTTATAAAATTTTCTTTAATGGAATTCAATAAAAGGTTCTGAGTATGTCTTTCACATATTTTGTTTAAATTATTTTTAGGTTCTTTTAGCATCTGTTAACTGATTATTGTTTGTTTTTCAGTATTAAAAGTAATGCATGTCGCAATTATAGTTGGCGTTTTTGCTCTTTTCCAGATTTGCTTTCAGAATATATGGATATCGCATTTTATTTCTGGGAAATTTTTAATATGTTGTTGATTGATTATGCATGTGCTTTTTTTGTCCCTATTTTACTTCATTACCTTACAAATAATTTGCATCTTTTAAAAATTCTCTTTATCTCTCCTCTGCTTCCTTCCCTCCCTCCCTCCCTCCCTCCTTTCCTTCCTTCTTTTATTGCTAAACTAAGCAGGTTTTCCTGTTAGTCAATAGATTAAGATACTTTGTTTTTTTTTTTAAACACATTAGTGGAGTAGGTCTACTATTATTTTGTTTATACAATAGACTCCTAATATCTTTCCTGTGTAATGTCCAGTATTAGCTTAAAAGATTTACAAGCCAAAGAAAACAAGTTGTTTCTCTTCTCTGTTTTCTAAAAGGGGAGTGTAAAGTTGAAGTGACTTTTAATTAAAATCATCTCAGTCAATTATTTTTGTCTTTGACATTTTTTTAATTGAGCAATTTATTCCTTTTTGTTATGGTAGTGTAGTACTACATAGATTTATCTATTTTTAGAGCCACTTATGGTACTTTAAAATTTACCCATTTTCTTATTATTGTGAGCGACTTCTGTGTGAGTATTTTTAACTGCTTTATCTTAGGATAATTAGTTTTGGCTTCTTGTGTTGTGCTTTGATACATTTCTCTAAATTTTATGTCGTTTTGGCTAGTCTTATTTTATTACATGTTAGTCTGTTGTTATAATTTTAATTTTGAAAATTTTCAGAGGATGACAGACAGAACCGTGATGAGAGATTTAATTTTCCCATTATGCATACTGAATCTGTAGTTTTGACATTTAAGGTAAACCAAACTTTGCCTTTTCCTTATATCTCAGAATTAATAAACTTACTGAAACATGAAGACTAAATGTAAGACATAGTACTGAATGCATTTTTATATGTACCATGGTTATTCCATGCATAAATTTAGTGCTCAGTTCTAATTTATTTTTTATCGTTCCTCAAATGTGACTAAACATCACATGTCAAAGAATCTCCTTTAAGAAGATAATGAAACTTTGCATAAATAAATTTACTTTCTATTTTTTCTGAGTTTATTTAGATTTGAAACTTTGAACTTGTTAAAGATTATATGTATATATATTAACAACTGCTGTGATTTTCAGAGATTAATGATGAAACAAATTGTTCATCCCTTAGACTTTGCCAACATACAATAAATTCTGACAGCTTTTTCCCACTCCATTTGCTGAATACATGTAGTTTCCTTGATATGACAAAATATGATATTTTGTCACTCATGTCATGCCTTTGTGTTGATCTTTCATTTTTTCTGTAAATTAATGAGTGCTAGCAAAGAGTGCCTTCATAAAGTTGTCTTTTGTCAAAAGTCCTGCTACAGCATATGGAACTAGTGACAGGCTACAGTATTAAGGAGATTTGTTTTAAACCAAGCCTCTAAAGTGTGCACAGAAATACTAATACATCCCCGTGTATTTTACAGATAATCCCGGTTTGCTGAGCCATGTCACAGTGGGCATTAGAGTTCTGGATGTCAATGACAATCCACCTGAGCTTGCCAGGGAATATGATATTGTTGTCTGTGAAAATTCTAAGCCTGGCCAGGTAAGTTAATTGTTTTCTTCCTATCATTTTAATGGAAAAAAAATTACAAAGTTTATTTCCATTATTCTTAGGTATAATCCCTCAAATCCCCAGTGTAATTTTTGTACCCAGTAAAATAATTTCATGAAGGTTTAACTACCAAATAATTTTTTTGAGAATCATAGAAAATAAATTTTCTCTGCATCCTGAATGTAACTGAGAAAAATGAACTCATTCATAAATGATGCATTCATCATACGAGTAAAATTATATTGAAAACTTTATATCCAACCTTGCATTAAGTGAAGGGGAAACAGAGAATACTTCTGTCCTAATGAAGCTTACAGACTTGACTGGGGAGAAGAGATTAGTGTGGTCAATTTTGGGTGATCTGAGGGAGCACACATGAATGATGGTTGAGTGATGCTGCTGATAAAAGACGGCTATGTTTTAAAAACATAAAAAAATTAGTATGTATTAATAGAGTGATAAGAGTGAAGGAAAAACAGTTTGAACACAGTCTATGAGGCTGTGTGTAGCATGGCGTCCAGTTAAAGAAGCATGGCAATTTGGAAAGAAGGCTGGAGTGGCTGTAACAAATAGACCAAGTAGGAGACAGAAAGAAAATGTGCGTTTGTCTTTCCCGCTATATACCAAATTAGACAAAATAAACATCTTAAAACAAAATATGTTTATTATTTCACTGATTCTGTAGGTGAGACATTTGTGCATGACTTAACTGAGTCTTTGCAGAGGTCTCACTACAATCAAGTTGTCAATCAAAGCTGCCGTCTCACCCAGGGCTTGAGGATTTCTTCCAAGCTCACTTAATTGTTGGTAGCTTTCAATTCCCCACCCCCATTGACCTGAGGAAGTCAAGACAGAAAAGGCTCCTTAAGGCTGCTCATTGTTCTGAGATAGCACCCACAGTTGACTGCCATAAAAGCTTCTTCAATATGGCCACTTAACTCATCAAGCAAATTAGGGGAATTTTTCTTGTGAGGCTGCTAATCAAACAGTCTCTCAGGTATATAATCCGGACAGTGATGTAGCAACACATTTGCTTCATTCCCTTGGTGAGAAGCAAGATACAATTCATACCCATAATTATGGGGAAGAGATTACAGTAGCCATGTATTTCAGGAGGAGAACCTTACAGTCTTTCTGCCATGAATCAATCTAGAGGTAGAAAGGGTATAAGTCTGGCTCAGTCAAAAAGACTCTGCTTCTGTTTTTTGTAAACTAAAATGCATATATCTTCCAAAATCGCTTTAAATCATTTTTAAGTTCTGTGGTGAAGTTATAATCTTGAGAAAGACTGCTTTGTGTATTAGTGTACAAGGGACAATCAATAGTAGCTGTTTAAAATAATTATTACCTATGTGTCTTTAATAGTGTCAGAGAAAAAATATATAACATATTTATATAGAAACATATGTTTATTTACATATATTTATAATTCTGTATTTTATTTATTTACATGTATACATTCTATTTTTTATTGATTGATTGATATTTTATTTATATATTATATATTTATATATGATGTATATATTTATATAAACACATACAAACTATATTTTATATGAATATATGTTTATGTATTTTCAACATATACATAATATGTAGACATTTTTGACATAAAGGGTTTGTCTTGTTCACTTCTATTAAAGACAGTACTTTAGACACAATAAATTTAACCAAACTTGTTACTAAAATTATACTTCTAAGTTAGGTTTATTTTTGTGTACATACTATGTTAGGTGATGGTTTGCTATGTAGAAACTCTACATACAGTTACAGCTTCAGGCTAATGATGCCCTATGTATTAAATTTAACACTGTCCACAAGAAAATTATAAATATAAATGAGAAAAATGAGACAATCATATTTGACAATATTGTGTCCCTTATATGCTTCATTCAGTTAAAATATATCAATATTCTTATTTTATATGTTTAAATATTTTTCTATATCACCATTTTAAAAACAGCAAATAATTTTATTGTACAGATTTATTATTATTTACTTACAAATCCTATTTTAATTATATCAAAAATAAATACATGCATCCTACCATAAAGTTTTTAAAAAGTACAATTGATGAAAAATATTAAAGATTACAATAGTCAATTTATATGTTAAAAGCACAATGTCTCAACTGTTGGTAATAGCAGCAACTTAGACATAGCTAAAGAGAAAATAAGTGAATTGGAAAATAGATCAGAATAAAATATCTATGTTATAGTATGGAAAGAAAAAGAATATATATAAGAATATAAGAGATATATGGAAGATGTATGTTTAACATACAATTTATTTAATTCTCAGAGCATATGAGAGAGAGAGAGTAGGACAGAGTAATATTTGAGGTGATCATAGCTGAGAGTTATTCCAAATTAATGAAAACATCAAGTCAAACACTCAAGAAGCACTGAAATGAAGAAGAAGAAGAAGAAGAAGAAGAAGAAGAAGAAGAAGAAGAAGAAGAAGAAGAAGAAAAAACTAAACAAACTGCCTGGAAAGGTAAAACTACCTAAGTATATCAAGGTAAAATTTTAGAAAATTTAAAGAAGCAAGAGACAAAATACTGTTAAAAAAGAAGAAAAAGAAGAAGGAGGAGGAGGAGGAGGAGGAGGACGAGGAGGAGGAGGAGGAGGAGGAGGAGACCCTTATGACCTACAGTGAGGCAAAGCACTTTTGACTTGATACCAAAAAGCATGATTCATATGAGAAAATATTGATAAAGGCAAAATAAAAATTAAGAAATTTTGTTCATGAAATAGTTTGATAAAAGAATAAAAAGACAACCTACATAATAAAATAAAATACTTGAGAACCAGTGTTTGACAAAGAATTAGTGTCTAGACTACATTAAAAAGTTTGCAAAACTCAACAGTATACAAATAAAAGAATCCAATTTGAAAATGGGCAAAATACATGTGCAGATTTTTATTAAAGAAGATATGCAAATAGCATATAAGCACATTAAAAACTATTCAACACAATTAGTGATTAGGTAAGTAGAACCTAAAGCCACCATGAGATATCACTACATGCTTATTATAAGAGCTAAACTTCTTAGTGAGATGTGGAGAAATTAGATAATCAATTCTACATTGCTGGTAAGAGTGTAAAGTGGTATTGATACTCTGGAATATACTTTTGCAGTTTCAGGAAAATATGTAACTACATTATAACCTAGAACTTCACCTTTGGGCATTTTCCTCAGAGACATGAATCTTATGTTCACATGACAAACTGTACACAAATAGTTATAGCACTTTTATTCACAATATCCCCAGACTGGAACCAACACAAAAGTTCTTCAGTGGGTGAATGGTTAAGCAAACTGTAGTAAATTCATAACCTGGAATACAGTTCATCAAATTAAGAGGAACACACAGTTAATACATGCAACAAGCCAGATGAATCTCTAGAAAATGTTGCTGAGAGGGTAAAAGACCCAATACTTGAAGTTTCCATTAGTTATGATTCTATTGATGTAGCATTAATAACATGACAACATTAAAAAAATAGAGGACACGTTAGCAGTCGTCAGAGGTTAAAGGAGTGAGAGGGGTAAGGATAATAGAAAAACGGATGTGGCCATATAATAGCAGCATGAGATATCCTTATGGTGATGAAAGTGTTATATGTGTTATAATTATTAATGTCAATATCCTGGTTGTGAAATTGTTTTGCAAGATGTTACTTGTGGAGGAAACTAGGTAAAGGGTACATGAGATCTCTCTGTATTATTTCTTATACCTGCCTATAAATCTCCAAGCACCTAAAAATAGAAATATCTAAAACCTTCAAAAGGACAACAATAATATAAGCTGATTTTTCATCAGGAAAGATAGAACCCAAAAAATAATACAAATATAACACCCAAGAGCTACAAGATAAAAACTGACAACCATAAATTCCCTTTCTACCAAAAAAATTCCTCAGAATTAAAGTTAAGAAAAACTCATATTTAGACAAACAAAAATGTGAGAATTCTTTAGCATACGGAAGACACATCACTAAAGCTTTTTTTGAGTAAAGAGGAAAACAAATCTATTGGCAAGAACCATCAAAGAACAAAGCAATCAGTAAATAAATTGATAAAAATGAATGATTAATGACTGAACAATGAGTCAAAGAAATGTCTTCCTGGGTTTAAAACTTACAAAGTATACATGGCCAAGAAATTGCAAGTAAGAAAGGAAGTAAATGACATTAAAATAATCTAAAGTACTTTTGAGGAAATTAATAAACTGCTAACTTGTAGTAGATCTTTTAAGTCAAAAATACATATTGTTATCTCTCAGTTAACAAATAAAAATAGTAAGAGATCACATAACTAACATAACAATAGAAACAAAAAATTGGAGTTTAAAAAAAAAACTTAATCCCAAAGAAGATAACGCTTACAATTGTATTTCCTGATGTTAATCGTGTTTATAAATATTCATTAGCTTTAAAATAATTAAAGTACTTAAAAACTGTTGTGTGTTATTTTCTATATTTTGTAGTATAAAGATAAAATGATAGATTTCAAAACTAAAATGTAATTCTTACAAAATATGCAGTTTATACCAATGTAGTAATTCCAAATAATCCTAAATTCATGTGAAGTCTGTCAAACTCAAAAGTTAGAATGACTAGCTCAGCCTGTCATTCCAGAACTTTGAGAGGCAAAGGCAACTGAATTGCCTGAGCCAATGGGTTAGAGACCAGCCCAGGCAACTTGGGGAGACCTCGTCTTTACAAAAAAAACAAAAAAATTAGCTGGGTGTAGTAGCTCATGCCTGTAGTTCCGGCTACTTGGAAGGTTTAAGTGGAAGGATAGCCTGAGCCCAGCAGGTCGACGCTTGGGTGGTCGTGAGAGTGCCACCTGCACTGCAGCCTGGGTGACAGAGTGAGACTTAAACAAAACAAAACAAAACAAAAAAACCTCAAAATAAACAAACAAACAAACCAAACCAAATAAAAAAGAATAAGTCACTTAATATTTTTTAAAAAGTTAGAAT